TTAATTAAAAAATAACACTAATATAACCTAAAAAAACTGTTTTTAGTTTTTTTTTTCAATTTTAAAATTTGAACACAAGAGTAACTTGCAAGTATTTTTTTTTGTTAAACCTCACAAGTTTGAATATTCTTAAAGATTGCAAATAACCTTAGAGTACAAAAGATTTTTTTTTTTAATTTAGAGAGAATGATAGATAATAATTAGAAATCTCAATAATAATGCAACTCTTTTAGTTAATATTTAATGTTGACAATTGACATTATTATTTAGTTCTTTTCCTGTAGCACTAAATATTAAGTATTAAATAGAGTAATGACTATTATACTATTTTTTTATATAAATAATTACATTTTAAAATTTTTATACATAAATCAAGAACAATATAAAATAAATATAATTTAAACTTTTTATATATAAACTAAGAAAAATAATACAAATGTATCACTTTTTAATAGTATAATTTTACTAAAATAATTTTATTCTCTCAATAAATATATTACTTTTAGTTGTGATGATTAAATAATCTATATAAAAATATAAATTAAAAGAAAAAAATGATTAACACACATTAAAAATGAAAATATTAGTTATTTTAAAATGTTTTCTAAATGTTAAAATTGTCGTTAATTCGAAATAAAAAATATTATTTTTTATTTTAACTAAACTTAAAATCTTTTAACACTATATAATTTCTTTTATTCAAAATATCAATATACCAATTTAAAATTGAATAATTAAACTTAGTTTTTGAATTTTATTATTAAGAACAGAAACATATTAATAACACTTTTTTTACACCATCAATCACACAATCTTAATAATTATATATTCCTCAAAATTCATTTATAACTTTTGTCATTTTATATTTATTTTATTTTCAGTTATCATTTTTATTATTATTATTTTACACTCGTATAAATATATATACATTGATGTTTATTTTACAGGAAAAAATTCTATATATATCTAAATTAATTTGAAAGAAGACAATTGTACCCCTTATTTTAATTAAATTAGTAGTATATATGTATAAATTTTGTATTTTTCATTTATTAATTTTATTCATTAAACCCCTAATGATTACATTTATATTTTGCTCTTTCTACAAATTATTATTATTATTAATTTTATTTTTTCAAAAAATTTATCCCTTATTAACTTGGGATCTTGCATCCACCACTAGATATAATGCACAATTAAACATAATGTAAAAGGTATAAACAAGTAAATCGCATAATAAGGAGTTGTCTAAAAGATGATATATATATAT